TTATTATTATTATTATTATTATTATTATTATTATTATTATGTGTGGAAATATATATGTGATAAAATTTAGAAATTATTAAAAGCATTATAAAAGCAAAACAATACAATAATGTGTATCAGGGGACATGTAGTGCAGTCTTGTGCATGTTAGCTGAGTGGTCCAGTCAAGTTGACTTGTATAGGTTGTTGCTGTGTGCCTTCAAATAGTTTCCTATCTATGGTAATTCTAAATTTAACCTATCACTAGGTTTTATTGGCAAGATTTGTTCAGAGACAGGTTGCCATTGCCTTCCCCTGAGACAGTGAGTGTGACTTGCCCAAGATCACCCAATGAATTTCCATGGCCAAGCAGGGATTTGAACCCTGGTCTCCAGAGGCATAGTCCGATGCTCTAACCATTATACTACTCTTGCTGTCTACTAGGCTGCGCTGTTAATCAGCTAATGAATGAACTATCAGATAACACACAGCATCTTTCTGAATTGAATAACTGTTTTAAATTGAATTCTCCTTTATGGTGATTTTACTTCAGATATAAAATATTCCATTATGTGGCCCTTAAAGTATTTTTAATCTTTATGTATTCAGGAAAATACCTTTGCAAAGTACAGCAGACTTTTTTTGTCTCTTTAATTTGTACCTCCATCAATGAAGCAATGATGCCTAGGAGTTCTGAAAAATGTTGTAGGAAAAGTTTTGAAATAAAAAGGGAAAGTAGCAGATACCTTAAAATATTTTACTGCAACTAGTTCTCAAACTGCATGGAGTTTAATAGGCAAGCTGAAAAATCTGTCTAGAAATCCTGTTCTATATAAATATTAATACATTTCCAGAGAACAGAGGTTACCAAGATAGCATACATGAGTTCTGGCAATTTTAAGGTAGAACACTGAAGTACAGAGTTTTTCAAAAAGAATGGTACAAAACCAAGTAAGAACAGCTTTACTTTTGCACCATTTTTTAATAACCCTGTATTTGTATCTCACTTAACACACATGAAAAAGCTAAACTGGAAGGAATAGTAGAAATGGATTCATCATTGCTGCTAACAACAACAAATTTGCTGGAAGGACAGAAAAGACATGAGAGAGTTACACCATGAAATACAAAGGGACAGCATGTCCTTATTAATTCTGCTGAACTGCTTGGTGGGTTCTTTGCCGTATCATCAGCGTATTCTAGGTTACCTAATAATAATAATAATAATAATAATAATAATAATAATAATAATAATAATTTTTATATATATCCTGCCCCTCTGCCATGCAATGGATGGAACAGGACTTAGGGGCACCATTTTGCAATGGCTCCAGTCTCATGGTTCTATCTTGTTCCCCATACTATTAAATTCATACATTAAATGACTAAAAGAGGTCCAGAGTTTGGGGGTTTGGTGTCATCAATATGTTGATAACACCTAACTTTTTCTCTCCATTCCATCTAAATCCAAGGAAGCTGTTAATTTCTAAATTAGTCTAACATCAGTAATAGACTGGGTGATGACAGACAAATGGAAGCTTAATAAATTTAAGGTAGATCAGGGAATAAGTTTTCTCTCTGCCTTGGGTGGGATTACACAAGCCTTTGAAGACTGATTGGAACTTTGGGTGTGCTGCTAAATTCAGCCCTGGACATGGATGACCAGGTGTACATTTACACAGCTAAGGCTCATTCCTGGATAATAATAATAATAATAATAATAATAATAATAATAA